GGAGGAAAAGCAAAGTGATGAGCGTCGGCCGTGGGCTGGCCCTGCCGTGGGACTCACCCCGACGTCCGTCCGTCCGTCCGTCCCCACCGCCCGCAGTTCTGGCAGCACAGCGAGTGGCTGGACGTGGTGGTCGATGACCGGCTGCCCACCTTCAGGGACCGGCTGATCTTCCTGCACTCGGCCGACCACAACGAGTTCTGGAGCGCCCTGCTGGAGAAGGCCTACGCCAAGTGAGTGCCGCCCGCTCCCTGCCGGCCACCCCCTCCCGGGGCCGCCCCCCTCCCGGGCCTTCCCCTGCCCCTTTCTATGGAGCAGGGAGACTCAGCTCGGGGTCCCCGGTGTGGGTCCCGGGCCCACCTGCTGGGGGCGCACTCAGGGCTGGAGGTGGGAACGGAGAGGCTCCAGCACAGTGTGCCCCCCGCCCCCATCTCTCCCTGTGTCAGGAATCTGACCTCAGCAGGGGCTGGGAGGGTGGGCAGAGGGTGATGCTGATGTGCTTGGAACAGCTGGTCCTGCTGCCACTGCCGCCAAGCGCTGGGGCGGCTCACACATCTGGCCACGAACCACGTGGATGTTGACGTCAACGTTTCCCCCCTTCACGATGCTCCTTTCTTTCAATTTTTAAAAAATATATTTGTATTGCCGAACCAGTTTGGCTCAGCGGATAGAGCGTCGGCCTGCGGACTGAGGGGTCCCAGGTTCGATTCCGGTCAAGGGCATGTACCTTGGTTGCAGGCACATCCCCAGTAGGGGGGCGTGCAGGAGGCAGCTGAGCGATCTCTCTCATCGATGTTTCTAACTCTCTATCCCTCTCCCTTCTTCTCTGTAAAAAATCAATAAAATATATTTTAAAAAAGATATATTTGTATTGATGTCAGAGAGGAAGGGAGAGGGAGAGAGAGAAACATCCATGAGGAGTGAGAGTCATGGACCGGCTGCCTCCTGCACATTCCCTACTGGGGATCGAGGTCACAACCCGGGCATGTGCCCTTGACCGGGAATCGAGCGGTGACCTCCTGGTTCCTAGGTCGACGCTCAACCACTGAGCCGCGCGGCCGGGCTCCACGCTGTCCTTCCCCTTCCAGGCTGAACGGGAGCTACGAGGCGCTGAAGGGCGGCAGCGCCATCGAGGCCATGGAGGACTTCACGGGGGGCGTGGCCGAGACCTTCTCCACGAAGGAGGCGCCCGAGAACTTCTACGAGATCCTGGAGAAGGCGCTGCAGCGGGGCTCCCTGGTGGGCTGCTCCATCGACGTAAGTCGCTCCCGTCCGGGGCACAGCACTGAGGTCAGAGGTCAGGGCCAGGTGCCCGGCCACACCCACGAGGAACAGGACTTGCAGTGGGGGAGGAGGTACAAATTCTAATTAAATGTTCGTTTATTTTAATTAAAGCAAAAGCTTTTGTTTAAGGTTTTTGGGTGTTTTTTTGTTTGTTCATCCTCACCCGAGGATATCTTCCCATTGATGTTGAGAGAGAGTGGAAGAGAGAGGGAAAGAGAGAGAGAGAAACATCGATGTGAGAGAGGCACATCGATTGGTTGCCTCCTGCTTGCACCCCAACCCAGGTCGGGGGACCTATAACCAAGGTACGTGCCCTTGGCTGGAATCGAACTCGGGACCCTTCAGTCCGCAGGCCGATGCTCTATCCCCTGAGCCAAACCGGCCAGGGCTGTTTAATGTTTTTCAAATGACAAAGGGAAGACATACTTGCCGTGTCAGGTAGATCGAGCCTGAGGTACCTGAAGGCACGTGTCTGTCTGCCTCCCTCAGGCCAGCCCCGTGCTGCCTGGTGCGTGCCCGGCACAGCCCTCCCTCCCTCATACAAACGGACACGCACATCTATGCACACACAGGTGGGCTGGCGTGATTTCCCTAAATCGCATCTTACCACGAATACCTTTTCAAAACTTGTTGACTTTGCATTGTGTATCGTGCAAAAACCTGTCAGTCGATAGAAGAAATATAACAGCATTTAAAATAATTTCAATATTAATATATTCTGATTGATTTCAGAGAGAGGAAGGGAGAGGGAGAGAGAGATAGAAACATCAATGATGAGAGAATCATGGATCGGCTGCCTCCTGCAGGCCCCCCACTGGAAATTGAGCCCACAACCCGGGGATGTGCCCCGACAGGTGAATGTGCCCCACCTCCTGGTTCGTAGGTCGATGCTCAACCACTGAGTCCCGCCAACCGGGCAAATAATTTCCTTATTTTGATACAAGCGCACACATGTCATTGCACCCCCGTGTGTTTTTGAGACCTACTCAAGTTTCCTGTTTCCTGTGGGAACTTATTCTTTACTCTCGAGTGTTTGTCTCCCCTGCGTCTCCCAGTGTGTGGCACAGGGTGGCTCCTCGCTGCCCGTTTGGTGCATGCGATTTGGTTCAAGTTCGTGCTCCCGTGTGATGGGGACGGTCAACTTGTTCTGTTTGGAGGCAGGAGAGTAAACTGACCGATAGAGCCCCAGCTGGGGCCGGGGTCTCCTGACCCGGAAGAGACGGGGACTTGGTGAATGTCGCCGCTCGCCGCCCTCGGGTGTCCTGTGTCCCCGTTTCACGCGCCCTGGACCCAGAGCCCTCACCTCGGGGACAGGAGCGGCTGGGCCGGGCACGGAGCTGGGTCCGGCCAGGGAGCCCAGGCTCCGGCTTGACTCACACCACGGGTCCCACGCGGCTGCCCTTTTGTGTTTCAGATAAAAAATTCTGCGGAATCGGAAGCCCGGACGCCCTTTGGCCTTATTAAGGGTCACGCCTACACCGTGACAGGAATTGACCAGGTGGGTGACATGATGCCGGTCCCTGGTGCTAACTTAGTGCCTCACAGAGGGGTCCCGGGTTCGATTCCCATCAAGGGCACATGCCCGGGTTGCAGGCTCGATCGCCAGTAGTGGGCGTGCAGGAGGCAGCCCCGATCCATGATTCTCTCTCCTCATGGATGTTTCTATCTCTCTCTCCCTCTCCCTTCCTCTCTGAAACCAGTAAATATATATATATAT